CCCCCCAGCAGTCAGTGTGGGACATGAGCCCTGGGGCCATGACCTAGAAGCCTCAGGGATGGAAATGGCAAGGCTACCAGATAGCTTTTGTTCCACTCTCTCCACTTCTACCTAAGACAGGCTGAGGACTGGCACCTTCTGTACCGTATTAGGTAGGGTCAGAGGAGGGTGTGGACATGACAGCTACTCATTTTCACTGTATGTTAGCCATGGGCCAGGCGCTCATAGATGCCTGGGGGTGTGCTGGGCATGGCCTTGCCCTGGGAGAAGCCTTGGGGTCTAGTGAGAGATGGCAGCAAACAGGACTGATTGACATTGATATCCTGCTCTTCGTTTGTAAGCGCTCCATACCTGTGACCTCTTTTAATGATCCGAACACTCTGAGTCAACAGAGGACAGGACACAAGCTTGGGGGAGCACAGCTCAAACATCAGCAGGTCAAACTCAGTTCCAAGGGGCAGGAGCACGCTGTTGAGGTAAGGCTTGAAAGATGGGGTGGCTTCCAGGTGGGAGGGTTTGTAGGTGGAGGGACGACCCAGGCACAGAGACAGGAAAGCTGTTGACCATGTTGAGAACCACCAAGTGGCTGAGCACAAGGTTAAGGACAGCAAGGCAGGTGAGGAGGACGTGTCACGAAAGTCCTTGGGAGCCAGTCTGAGAAGGGTGGGCCTTGCCCAGTGGGCGGTGGAGAAGCATTTTAGGAAGAAGAAGCTGGCAGCAGCTCAATAGCACCATTCAACGAACACTTTGTGAGTGTCCGTTATTGCCCAGACCCTGGCTGACATGCTGAGAAGACGAAGGGGACAAGACCCAGGCCCTGGCCTTTTGGGAGAAAATTAATAATCTTTTAATTACAGCAGGGAAGTAAAGGGGAGGAGAGAGAGAAGACCTTTGGGGGGGCTGAGTCTCTCCAGGGTAGCCTCCAAGAGAGGAGGGAAGTGTTTTAAGGGCCTGAGGATGGTCTGGACCTGAGAGCAGGGACAATGGGCTGTCACTGAAAACCAGGAGCAGCTGCCGGGAGGGGGAGGAGGTTGAGGGGGCTGAGCACTTCATTTGTGGATACCGGGAGTTAATAAGAAGCCAGGCAAGAAACATTAAGGGCTGTAATTACTGCTCAAAGCAAATGGCAGCGCCCAGAAAGGGGGGGGGGGCACAAGGGGTGACTTTTCTCCTCTTCCGCTGAGGCCTCTTCTTCAACAACAGTTTCCAGTTCTGACATCTCCTCAGCCAGGCCCATACCCTCAGAGGCCCGGCCTCTCTCTCTAAAGTAAAACTGAACCTAGGCTGACCCTCACAGTGCCCTTACCCCACCTGTGGCTCCTGTCTTCTGAGAAACCAGCACACCAGCTCTGAGCTGGGCTGCCGCTGTTTGCCTGCCTGAGATGAAGACATAAGTTATTTTTGACTGAGATCCAAGCCTGGGCCCTGAATTCTTTTGTCTTCCAGGAATCCCCCAGTCATGTTTGAAGTCTGCAAGTCCAAACAGCAGACGTAGCTCAGGGTGGTGGAATCCAACCACCCTCCATCTCCATCTCCAGCTTTCTTCCACTATTGCCCGCTGTCTGCCAGATCAAACAGAACAAGACTGCTCAACAGATTTTTTTTTCCCCTTTCGTCTCTTTCTCTCACTCCAGGGCCCCCAGTTTTCTGAATAACTTAAATCATTACTGAAAGATGTCCAGGTTCACAGACTGAACCTTTTCAAAGAGAGGCGTGGGCACCCAAAAAGTTGAGCTCAGAAAAGCCCATAAGAAACGTTCCTGGTCCCAAGATTTAGCCAATCATCCATT